CACGGACCAGTACCCCCACCTCGCTGGCGAGCAGCGTACCACTCACGGAGCTGCTGAGGGGGGGGGATGTCACGAGTGCGCTGCTGCTGCTGCTGCTGCTGCTGGCGCTGGCCACTACCGGAGCCGACCCTCTGCGCAGAACCACCCCGACTAGCTCCACCTCCTCCGCCTCCGCCTCCTCCACCACCGCCACCTCCGCCACCTCCGCTCCCACCGCCACCACCGCCTCCGCCTCCACTGCCGCCACCAACACCTCCACCCCCGCCACCACTCCCACCACCACCCCCACCCCCTCCGCCGGCTCCACCGCCACCTCCACCGCCCCCGCCAGCTCCTCCAGCGCCCTTGCCTCCCTTGCCCTTGCCTGTGCGGCGCTTCCCCAAAGGGGCAGACGCAGCGCCGACCGACTCGAAACCAACGACGTCGGCCGCAGCACTAGAAGCAACAGAGGGCAAGAGGGGGGAGGGAGAACACCCCTCAAAGACGGGGGTGCAGGGGTCACCACGAGAGGCTCCTACAGCGACTATGCTCTTCTCTGCTGCTAGGAGGGCCTTCTTGAGGAGGTCAACGGTGAGAGTGGTGGGGAAAACAGAGAGAAAGTGGTCCCTGACTACGCGGAGGGAGTCGGGGAGACGGGCGACTATGTAGTAGAGGGTGATGTACAAGGGGGGGGGGGGGGGGGGGTCTTGGCGCAGAACTCAGCAGGAAGCGCAGCGCGGTAGCGAGTGTCACTAGTGCGGAGGTGTGTAATGAGGTCAGTGACTGTGGGAAAGGCAGCAAGGTCAGGGAAGAGGTACGGTACCATGAGGCGGCTCAGTGCAGCAGTGGCAGGGGAGGAGTAGCGTGCAACTACAGCGTCGTACAAGGTCTGAGCACTCTTGTACTGGCTAAAGTGCGCACGCTCAGAGGTAGGCAGGTGGCGACGCACAGCAAGACGTGCAGCAGCATCGCGTGTGGCCCACTGCTAGCAAACAGTGGCGTCAGCATCAGCAGCAGGGGCAGGAGAGGCACCAGAGGTGAGGTCAAAGAGGGAGAGATCGTCTGCCCTATCGCACTGTAAGAAAAGCTACAGGTCATCTATCCAGACGTCAAAGTCAATGGCCCGACCCTCGGCGTCAAAAGTGAGGACACTAGGGGTAGCCATGATAGCAGTAGACTAGCAGCGCAAACAGTAGGGTAAGGGCAGTGCAGTGACAGAGACGCTGCTCTTACCGGGCAGGGCGGCTGGGGCGGATCGGCGGTGCGGGCGGCTCAGCTGCAGGGCGACTTGGCGGCTCGGCTGCTGGGCAGCTCGGCGGCTCGGCTGCTGGGTGGCTCAGTGGCTCGGCGGCTCGGCTGCTCGGCTGCTGGCGGCTCGGCGGCTTGGCTGCTGGGCGGCTCGGCGGCTCGGGGGCTCGGCTGCTGGGCGGCTCGGCGGCGCGGCGGCTCGGCTGCTGGGCGGCTCGGTGGCGGCGGCTCCTGACTCAGGGACGGCGGTGGGGCCGTGAGGAGGCCGCAGAAGGCGGCTCGAGGGGCCAGGTGGAGCGGCGGCGGGGCCGGGTGAGGCGGCGTCGGGGCCGGGAAGGGCGGCGCCGTGGCCGGAGGGGTAGGCGACGGGGCCAGCCGAGGTGGCGCCGGGGCCGGCCGAGGTGGCGCCGGGGCCGGGAAGGGCGGTGCCGGGGCCGTAGGAGTCGGCGCCGGGGCCGAGAAGGGCGGCGCCGGGGCCGCTAGGGCGGCGCAAGGGGCCGCAAGGGCGGCGCACGGTGGGCTGACGGGCGGCTCGAAGGGCCGCAAGGGCGGCGCGCCGAGCCGACGGGCTGCGCAAGGGGCCGCTAGGGCGGCGCGCGGGGTCGACGGGCGGCGTAAGGGGCCGCTAGGGCGGCGCGCGGGGTCAACGGGCGGCGCAAGGGGTCGCTAGGGCGGCGCGCGGGGTCAACGGGCGGCGCAAGGGGCCGCTAGGGCGGCGTGCGGGGTCGACGGGCGGCGCGAGGGGCCGACGGGCGATGCGCGGGGCCGTTAAGGGCGGTGCGTGGGGCCACTAAGAACGGCTCAACGGGTCGTGAGAGAGGCCGCTAAGGGCGGCGCGACGGGTTGGAGAGCACGCGAGGCGCGCCCGACTCGGTCTAGGGTGGAGTGCGTTCCCACTAGGGAACCTGCTCAATACCATGAGAAGAAACAAGGATGAATGAACTATGAAACAGGTGGGTACAAGTACTAACCCTAATTGGGTTGTACCCCTTATGGGATACCTCACTACAGCCTACACAAAATGTATAAGCTACAATGTTCTGACAAAGAACTAAGCCGAAAAGGCTCTAGTAGGTGTATTTGAATATGGGCTTCTGGAAGATGTAATAAAATTCAGGTTGTTGGGTGATATTCTCTACGCCTATAGGCATTCGCGCGTTTTCTAGGCACTTGGCTGCAAAAACGGCCGAAATCGTAGGCGCCGAACTTTTCTTCGTGCAAGAACCAAGTCGAAACGGCTCTAGTAGGTGTATTTGAACATGGGCCACTCGAATAGGAAGTAGAATTCAGGTTGTTGAGTGCTTTTCCCTACGACTATATGGATGCACGCGCTTTCTAGGCACTTGGCGGCAAAACGGCCGAAATCGTAGTCGCCGAACTTTTCTTCGTGCAAGAACCAAGTCGAAACGGCTCTAGTAGGTGTATTTGAAAATGGGCCACTCGAATAGGAAGTAGAATTCAGGTTGTTGAGTGCTTTTCCCTACGACTATAGGGATTCACGCGCTTTCTAGGCACTTGGCGGCAAAAATGGCCGAAATCGTAGGCGCCGAACCTTTATTCTCGCAAGAACCAGGACAAAAAGGCTCTAATAGGTGTATTTGAACATGGGCCACTCGAATATGTAAAGAACTCAGGTTGTTGAGTGCTTTTCCCTACGCCTATAGGAATTTACGTGCTTTCTAGGCACTTGGCGGCAAAAACGGCCGAAATTGTAGTCGCCGAACTTTTCTTCGTGCAAGAACCAAGCCGAAAAGGCTCTAGTAGGTGGGGCCACTCGAATATGCAGAAAAAATCAGGTTGTTTAGTGCTTTTGCCTACGCATATAGGGACTCACGCGCTTTCTAGGCATTTGGCGGCATAAACGGCCGAAATCGTAGGCGCCGAACTTTTCTTTGCGCAAGAACCAGGCCAAAAAGGCTCTAATAGGTGTATTTGAACATGAGCCACTCAAATATGCAATACAATACAGGTTGTTGAGTGCTTTTTCCTACGCCTCTAGGCATTTACGTGCTTTCTAGGCACTTGACGGCAAAAAAGGCCTAAATCGTAGTCGCCGAACATTTCTCCCGCAAGAACCGAGCCAAAAAGGCTCTAGTAGGTGTATTTGAACATAGGCCACTCAAATATGCAATACAATTTTGGTTGTTGAGTGCTTTTACCTTCTCCTATAGGGATCGACGCGCTTTCTAGGCACTTGGCGGAAAAACGGCCGAAATCGTAGACACCGAACTTTTCTTCATGCAAGAACCAGGCAAAAAATGCCCAAGTAGGTGTATTTGAACATGGGCCACTCGATTATGCAATAAAAATCAGGTTGTTGAGTGCTTTTCCCTACGCCTATACATATTCACGAGCTTTCTAGGCATTTGGCGACAAAACGGCCGAAATCGTAAGCGCCGAACTTTTCTTCGCGCAAGAACCAGGAGAAAAAGGCTCTAATAGGTGTATTTGAACATGAGCCACTCAAATATGCAATACAATTCATGTTTTTTAGTGCTTTTCCCTACGCCTCTAGGGATTCACGCGCTTTCTAGGCACTTGACGGAAAAAAAGGCCAAAATCGTAGTCGCCAAACTTTTCTTCCCGCAAGAACCGAGCCGAAAAGGCACTAATAGGTGTATTTGAACATGGGCCACTCAAATATGCAATACAATTCAGGTTGTTGAGTGCTTTTTCCTACGCCTCTAGGGATTCTCGCGCATTCTAGGCACTGGGCGACAAAAACGGCCAAAATCGTAGTCGCCGAACTTTTCTTCGTGCAAGAACCGGGCCAAAAAGGCTCTAATAGGTTTTTTTGAACGTGGGCCACTCGAATATGCAATAGTTTTCTGGTTGTTGAGTGCTTTTACCTTCTCCTATAGGGATTCACGCGCTTTTTAGGCACTTGGCGTCGAACTTTTCTTTGCGCAAGAACCAGGCCGAAAAGGCTCTAGTAGGTGTATTTGAACATGGGCTTGGGTCTAAGGGCATGAATATAAGGGCGTGGGTCTAACGGCGTGGGTCTAATGGCGTGGATCGAAGGACGTGGGTCTATGCTCGTGTGTCTAAGGGAGTGGGTCTAAAGGCGTGGGTCTAAGGGCGTGAGTCTAAGGGTGTGGGTCTAAGGGCGTGGGTCTAAGGGCGTGGGTCTAAGGGTGTGAAACTAAGGGCGATGGTCTAAGGGCGTGGGTCTAAGGGCGTGGGTCTAAGGGCGTGGGTCTAAGGGCGTGGGTCTAAGGGCGTCGGTCTAATGGCGTAGGTCTAAGGGCGTGGGTCTAAGGGCGTGGGCGTGGGTCTAAGGGCGTAGGTCTAAGCGGGTGGGTCTAAGGGTGGATTTATGGATGTGGTTTAAGGGCGTGGGTCTAAGGGCTTGGGTCTAAGGGCATGGATCTAAGGGCGTGGGTCTAATGGCGTGGATCTAAGGACGTGGGTCTAAGGTGTGTGTCTAATGCGTGTGTCTAAGGGCGTGGGTCTAAGGGCGTGGGTCTAAGGGCGTGGGTCTAAGGGCGTGGGTCTAAGGGCGTGGGTCTTAGGGCGTGGGTCTAAGGGCGTGGGTCTAAGGGCGTGGGTCTAAGGGCGTGGGTCTAAGGGCGTGGGTCTAAGGGCGTGGGTCTAAGGGCGTGGATCTAAGGGCGTGGGTCTAAGGGCGTGGGTCTAAGGGCGTGGGTCTAAGGGCGTGGGTCTAAGGGCGTGGGTCTAAGTGAGTGGGTCTACGAGTGGATTTATGAGCGTGGTTTAAGGGCGTGGGTCTAAAGGCTTTGGTCTAAGGGCATGGATCTAAGGGCGTGTGTCTAATGGCGTGGGTCTAATGGCGTGGGTCTAAGGGCGTGGGTCTAATGGCGTGGGTCTAAGGGCGTGGGTCTCTGGGCGTGGGTCTAAGTGCGTAGTGCGTGGGTCTCCCGCTTTCCATCACCCCGCCCCATTCTCCCGCTTTCCAGCACCCTGCCCCATTCTCCCACTTTCCATCACCCCACCCAATTCTCCAGCTTTCCATAACCCCGCCCCATTCTCCCGCTTTCCATCACCTCGCCCCATTCTCCCGCTTTCCATCACCACACCCCATTCTCCCTCCTTCCATCACCCCGCCCCATTCTCCCTCCTTCCATCACCCCGCCCCATTCTCCCGCTTTCCATCACCCCGCCCCATTCTCCCGCTTTCCAGCCCCCTGCCCCATTCTCCCGCTTTCCATCACCCTGCCCCATTCTCCCGCTTTCCAGCACCCCGCCCCATTCTCCCGCTTTCCATCACCCCGCCCCATTTTCCCGCTTTCCAGCACCCAGCCCCATTCTCCCGCTTTCCATCACCCTGCCCGCTTCTCCCGCTTTCCATCACCCCGCCCCATTCTCCCGCATTCCATCACCCCGGCCCATTCTCCCACTTTCCATCACCCCGCCCCATTTCTCCCTCTTTCCATCACCACGCCCCATTCTTCCCCTTTCCATCACGCGCCCCATTCTCCCGCTTTCCATCACCCCATCCCATTCTCCCGCTTTCCATCAACCCACCCATTCTCCCTCTTTCCATCACCCCGTGCCATTCTCCCTCTTTCCATCACCCCGCCCCATTCTCCCGCTTTCCATCACCCCGCCCCATTCTCCCTCTTTCCATCACCCCGCCCCATTCTCCCTCTTTTCATTACCCCGCCTGATTCTCCCGCTTTCCATCACCCCACCCCATTCTCCTGCTTTCCATCACCCCGCCCCATTTCTCCCTCTTTCCATCACCCCACCCCATTCTTCCGCTTTCCGTCACGCGCCCCATTCTCCCGCTTTCCATCACCCCGCCCCATTCTCCCGCTTTCCATCACCCCGCCCATTCTCCCTCTTTCCATCACCCCGCCCCATTCTCCCTCTTTTCATTACCCCGCCTGATTCTCCCGCTTTCCATCACCCCGCCCCATTCTCCCGCTTTCCATCACCCCGCCCCATTTCTCCCTCTTTCCATCACCCCACCCCATTCTTCCGCTTTCCGTCACGCGCCCCATTCTCCCGCTTTCCATCACCCCGCCCCATTCTCCCGCTTTCCATCAACCCGCCCATTCTCCCTCTTTCCATCACCCCGCCCCATTCTCCCTCTTTCCATCACCCGCGCCATTCTACCTCTTTCCATCACCCCGCACCATTCTCCTGCTTTCCCTCACCCCGCCCCATTCTCTCTCTTTCCATCACCCCGCCCCATTCTCCCTCTTTTCATCACCCCGCCCCATTCTCCCTTTTTCCATCACCCCGCCCCATACCCCCGCTTTGCATCACCCCGCCCCATTCTCCCGCTTTCCAGCACCCCGCCCCGTTCTCAAGCTTTCCATCATCCCACCTCATTCTCCCGCTTTCCATCACCCCGCCCCATTCTCCCGGCTCTCATCACCCCGCCCCATTTCTCCCTCTTTCCATCACCCCGCCCCATTCTTCCGCTTTCCATCACGCGCCCCATTCTCCCGCTTTCCATCACCCCGACCATTCTCCCGCTTTCCATCACCCCGACCATTCTCCCTCTTTCCATCATCCCGCCCCATTCTCCCTCTTTCCATCACCCTGTGCCTTCTCCCTCTTTCCATCACCCCGCCCCATTATCCCTCTTTCCATCAACCCGCCCCATTCTCCCTCTTTCAATCACCCCGCCCCATTCTCTTTCTTTTCATCACCCCGCCCGATTCTCCCTCTTTCCATCACCCCGCCCCATTCTTCTGCTTTCCATCACCCCGCCCCATTTCTCCCTCTTTCCATCACCCCGCCCCATTTTTCCGCTTTCCATCACGCGCCCCATTCTCCCGCTTTCCATCACTCGCCCCATTCACCCGCTTTCCACACCCCGCCCATTCTCCCTCTTTCCATCACCCCGCCCCATTCTCCCTCTTTCCATCAACCCGCGCCATTCTCCCTATTTCCAACACCCTACCCCATTCTCCCGCTTTCCCTCACCCGCCCCATTCTCTCTCTTTCCATCACCCTGCCCCATTCTCCCTCTTCTCATCACCCTGCCCCATTCTCTCTCTTTCCATCACCCCGTCCCATTCTCCCGCTTTCCATCACCCCGCCCCATTCTCCCTCTTTTCATCACCCCTCCCGATTCTCCCGCTTTCCATCACCCCGCCCCATTCTCCCGCTTTCCATCACCCGCCCCATTCTCCTGCTTTCCATCACCCCGCCCCATTTCTCCCTCTTTCCATCACCCCGCCCCATTCTTCCACTTTCCATCACGCGCCCCATTCTCCCGCTTTCCATCACCCCGCCCCATTCTCCCACTTTCCATCACCCTGCCCCATTCTCCCGCTTTCTATCACGCCACCCCATTCTCCTGCTTTCCATCACCCCGCCCCATTCTCCCACTTTCCATCACCCCGCCCCAGTCTCCCCATTCTCCCGCTTTCCATCACCCCGTCCCATTCTCCCGCTTTCCATCATTCCGCCCCATTCTCCCTCCTCTTTCAATCACCCCGCCCCATTCTCCCTCATTCCATAACCCCACCCCATTCTCCAGCTTTCCATCACCCCGCCCTATTCTCCCACTTTCCATCACCCCGCCCCATTCTCCCACTTTCCAGCACCCCTCCCCATACTCCCGCTTTCCATCACCCCGCCCCGATCTCCCGCTTTCCATCACCCCGCCCCATTCTCCCGCTTTCCAGCACCCCGCCTCATTCTCACGCTTTCCATCACCCCGCCCCATTCTCCCGCTTTCCATCACCCTGCCCGCTTCTCCCGCTTTCCATCAGCTTGCCCCATTCTCCCGCATTCCATCACCCCGGCCCATTCTCCCACTTTTCATCACCCCGCCCCATTTCTCCCTCTTTCCATCACCCCGCCCCATTCTTCCGCTTTCCATCACGCGCCCCATTCTCCCGCTTTCCATCACCCCACCCCATTCTCCCGCTTTCCATCACCCCGCCCATTCTCCCTCTTTCCATCACCCTGCCCCATTCTCCCTCTTTCCATCACCCCGCCCCATTCTCCCTCTTTTCATCACCCCGTCTGATTCTCCCGCTTTCCGTCACCCCGCCCCATTCTCCCACTTTCCATCACCCCGCCCCATTTCTCCCTCTTTCCATCACCCCGCCCCATTCTTCCGCTTTCCATCACGCGCCCCATTCTCCCGCTTTCCATCACCCCGCCCCATTCTCCCGCTTTCCATCACCCCGCCCATTCTCCCTCTTTCCATCACCCAGCCCCATTCTCCCTCTTTCCATCACCCCGCGCCATTCTACCTCTTTCCATCACCCCGCACCATTCTCCTGCTTTCCCTCACCCCGCCCCATTCTCTCTATTTCTATCACCCCACCCCATTCTCCCTCTTTTTATCACCCCGCCCCATTCTCCCTCTTTTTATCACCCCGCCCCATTCTCTCTATTTCCATCACCCTGCCCCATTCTCCCGCTTTCCATCACCCCGCCCCATTCTCCCGCTTTCCATTACCCCACCCCATTCTCCCGTTTTCCAGTACCCCGCCCCGTTCTCCCACTTTCCATCACCCCACCCCATTCTCCCGCTTTCCATCACCCCGCCCCATTCTCCCAGCTTTCATCACCCCGCCCCATTTCTCCCTCTTTCCATCACCCCGCACCACTCTTCCGCTTTCCATCACGCGCCCCATTCTCCCGCTTTCCATCACCCCACCCCATTCTCCCGCTTTCCATCACCCTGACTATTCTCCCTCTTTCCATCATCTCGCCCCATTCTCCCTCTTTCCATCACCCTGTGCCTTCTCCCTCTTTCCATCACCCCGCCCCATTATCCCAATTTCCATCAACCCGCCCCATTCTCCCTCTTTCAATCACCCCGCTCCATTCTCTTTCTTTTTATCACCCCGCCCGATTCTCCCTCTTTCCATCACCCCGCCCCATTCTCCCGCTTTCCATCACCCCGCCCCATTCTCCCTCCTTCCATCACCCCACCCCATTCTCCCGCTTTCCGTCACCCTGCCCCATTGTCCCTCCTTCCATCACCCCGCCCCAGTCTCCCTCCTTCCATCACCCCGCCCCATTCTCCCGCTTTCCATCACCCCGCCCAATTCTTCCGCTTTCCATCACCCCTGCCTATTCTCCCGCTTTCCATCACCCCTGCCTATTCTCCCTCTTTCCATCACGCCGCCCTATTCTCCTTCCTTCCATCACACCGCCCCATTCTCCCGCTTTCCATCACCCCGCCCTATTCTCCCGCTTTCCATCACCCCGACCAATTCTCCTGCTTTCCATCACCCCTCCCCATTCTCCCTCGTTCCATCACCCTGCCCCATTCTCCCTAATTCCATCACCCTGCCCCATTCTCCCACTTTCAATCACCCCGCCCCGTTCTCCCGCTTTCCATCACCCCGCCCCGTTCTCCCACTTTCAATCACCCCGCCCCATTCTCCCGCTTTACATCACCCCGCCCAGTTCTTCCGCTTTCCATCACCCCGCCCCATTCTCTCTCTTTCCATCACGCCGCCCCATTCTCCTTCCTTCCATCACCCCGCCTTATTCTCCCGCCTTCCATCACCCCACCCAATTCTTCCGCTTTCCATCACCCCTGCCTATTCTCCCGCTTTCCATCACCCCTGCCTATTCTCCCTCTTTCCATCACGCCGCCCTATTCTCCTTCCTTCCATCACACCGCCCCATTCTCCCGCTTTCCATCACCCCGCCCTATTCTCCCGCTTTCCATCACCCCGACCAATTCTCCTGCTTTCCATCACCCCTCCCCATTCTCCCTCGTTCCATCACCCTGCCCCATTCTCCCTAATTCCATCACCCTGCCCCATTCTCCCACTTTCAATCACCCCGCCCCGTTCTCCCGCTTTCCATCACCCCGCCCCATTCTCCCACTTTCAATCACCCCGCCTCATTCTCCCGCTTTCCATCACCCCGCCCAGTTCTTCCGCTCTCCATCACCCCGCCCCATTCTTTCTCTTTCCATCACGCCGCCCCATTCTCCTTCCTTCCATCACCCCGCCTTATTCTCCCGCTTTCCATCACCCCGCCCTATTCTCCCGCTTTCAATCACCCCGACCAATTCTCCTGCTTTCCATCACCCCTCCCCATTCTCCCTCCTTCCATCACCCCGCCCCATTCTCCCTCCTTCCATCACCCCGCCCCATTAACCCACTTTCCATCACCCTGCCCCATACTCCCACTTTCCAACACTCCGCCCCATTTTCCCGCTTTCCATCACCTCGCCCATTCTCCTGCTTTCCTTCACCCCGCCCCATTCTCCCGCTTTCCATCACCTCGCCCCATTCTCCCGCATTCCATCACCCCGCCCCATTTTCCCGCTTTCCATCACCCCGCCCCATTCTCCCGCTTTCCATCACCACACCCCATTCTCCTGCTTTCCATCACGCCGCCCCATTCTCCCGCTTTCCATCACCCCGCCCCATTCTCCCGCTATCCATCATCCCGCCCCATTCTCTTGCTTTCCATCACCGTGCCCCATTCATCGGCTTTCCATCACCCCGCCCCATTGTCCCTCCTTCAATCACCCCGCCCCATTCTCCCGATTTCCATCACCCTGCCCCATTCCCCAGCTTTTCATCACCCCGCCCCACTCTCCCGCTTTCCATCACCCCGCCCCATTCTCCTGCTTTCCATCACCCCGACCCATTCTCCCGCTTTCCATCACCCCTCCCCATTCTCCTTCCTTCCATCACCCTGCCCCATTCTCCCTCCTTCCATCACCCCTCCCCATTCTCCCGCTTTCAATCACCCCGCCCCATTCTCCCGCTTTCCATCACCCCGCCCCATTCTCCCGCTTTCCACCACCCCGCCCCATTCTCCCGCTTTCCATCACCCCGCCCCATTCTCCCTCCTTCCATCACCCCGCCCCATTCTCCCGCTTTCCATCACACCGCCCCATCCTCCCTCCTTCCATCATCCCGCCCCATCCTCCCGCTTTCCATCACCCCACCCCATCCTCCCGCTTTCCATCACCCCGCCCCATTCTCCTTCTTTCAATCACCCCGCCCCATTCTCTCTCCTTCCATCACCCCGGCCCATTCTCCCGCTTTCCATCACCCCGCCCCATTCTCCCGCTTTCCATCACCCCGCCCCATCCTCCCGATTTCCATCACCCCGCCCCATTCTCCCGCTTTCCATCACCTCACCCCATCCTCCCACTTTCCATCACCCCGCCCCATTCTCCCGCTTTCCATCACCTCACCCCATCCTCCCACTTTCCATCACCCCGCACCATTCCCCAACTTTTCATCACCCCGCCCCATAGTCCCGCTTTCCATCACCCCGCCCCATTTTCCTGCTTTCCATCACCCCGACCCATTCTCCCGCTTTCCATCACCCCGCCCCATTCTCCCTCCTTCCATCACCCCGCCCCATTTTCCTGCTTTCCATCACCCCGCCCCATTCTCCCGCTTTCCATCACCCCGCCCTATTCTCCCGCTTTCCATCACCCCACCCCATTCTCCCGCTTTCCATCACCCCGCCCCATCCTCCCGCTTTCCATCACCCCGCCCCATTCTCCCGATTTCCATCACCCCGCCCCATTCTCCAGCTTTCCATCACAACGACCCATTCTCCCGCTTTTCATCACCCCGCCCCATTCTCCCTCTTTCCATCATTCCGCCCCATTCTCCCGCGTTCCATCACCCCGCCCCATTCTCCCGCTTTCCATCACCCCGCCCCATCCTCCCGCTTTCCATCACCCCGCCCCATTCTCCCGCTTTCCATCACCACGCCCCATTCTCCCGCTTTCAATCACCCCGCCCCGTTCTCCCGCTTTCCATCACCCCGCCCCATTCTCCCGCTTTCCATCACCCCGCCCCATTCTCCCGCTTTCCATCACCCCTTCCCATTCTCCCGCTTTCCATCACCCCTTCCCATTCTCCCGCTTTCCATCACCCCGCCCCATTCTCCCGTTTTCCATCACCCCGCCCCATTCTTCCGCTTTCCATCACCCTGCCCCATTCTCCCGCTTTCCATCACCCAGCCCCATTCTCCCGCTTTCCATCACCCCGCCTAATTCTCCCTCCTTCCATCACCCTGCCCCATTCTCCTGCTTTCCATCACCCTGCCCCATTCTCCCTCCTTCCATCACCCCGCCCCAGTCTCCCTCCTTCCATCACACCGCCCCATTCTCCCGCTTTCCATCACCCCGCCCCATTCTTCCGCTTTCCATCACCCCGCCCCGTTCTCCCGCTTTCCATCACCCTGCCCCATTCTCCCTCTTTCCATCACTTCGCCCCATTCTCCTTCCTTCCATCACCCTGCCCCATTCTCCCGCTTTCCATCACCCCGCCCTATTCTCCCGCTTTCCATCACCCCGACCCATTTTCCCGCTTTCCATCACCCATCCCCATTCTCCCTCCTTCCATCACCCCGCCCCATAGTCCCGCTTTCCATCACCCCGCCCCATTCTCCCACTTTCAACCACCTCGCCCCGCTCTCCCGTTTTCCATCACCCCGCCCCATTCTCCCGCTTTCCATCAACCCGCCCCATTCTCCCGCTTTCCATCACCCCGCCCCATTCTCCCGCTTTCCATCACCCCGCCCCATTCTCCTGCTTTCCATCACCCCGCCCCATTCTCCCTCCTTCAATCACCCCGTCCCATTCTCCCGCTTTCAATCACCCCGCCCCATTCTCCTGCTTTCCATCACCCCGCCCCATTCTCCCGCTGTCCATCACCCCGCCCCATTCTCCCGCTTTCCATCACCCCGCCCCATTCTCCCTCCTTCCATCACCCCGCCCCATTCTCCTGCTTTCCATCACCCCGCCCCATTCTCCCGCTTTCCATCACCCCGCCCCATTCTCCCGCTTTCCATCACCCCGGCCCATTCTCACGCTTTCCATCACCCCGCCCCATTCTCCCGCTTTCCATCACCCCGCCCCATCCTCCCGCTTTCCACCACCCCGCCCCATTCTCCCGCTTTCCATCACCCCGCCCCATTCTCCCGTTTTCCATCACCCCGCCCCATCCTCCCGCTTTCCATCACCCCGCCCCATTCTCCCGCTTTCCATCACCCCGCCCCATTCTCCCGCTTTCCATCACCCCACCCCATCCTCCCTCCTTCCATCATCCCGCCCCATTCTCCCGCTTTCCATCACCCCCCCCATCCTCCTGCTTTCCATCACCCCGCCCAATTCTCCCGCTTTCCATCACCCCGCCCCATTCTCCTGCTTTCCATCACCCCGCCCCAATCTCCCGCTTTCTATCACCCCACCCCATTCTCCCGCTTTCCATCACCCCGCCCCATTCTCTTGCTTTTCATCACCCCGCCCCATGCTCCCGTTTTCCATCACCCCGCCCCATTCTCCCGCTTTCCATCACCCAGCCCCATTCTCCCACTTTTCATCACCCCGCCCCATTCTCCCGCTTTCCATCACCCCGCCCCATTCTCTCGCTTTCAATCACCCCGTCCCATTCTCCCGCTTTCCATCACCCCGCCCCATTCTCCCGCTTTCCATCACCCAGCCCGATTCTCTCGCTTTCCATCACCCCGCCCCATTCTCCCTCTTTCCATTACTCCGCCCCATTCTCCCACTTTCCATCACCCCGCCACATTCTCCTGCTTTCCATCACCCCGCCCCATTCTCCCGCTTTCCATCACCCCGCCCCATTCTCGTGCTTTCCATCACCGCGCCCCATTCTCCCGCTTTTGATCACCCCGCCCCATTCTCCCTCTTTCCATCACCCCGCCCCATTCTCCCTCTTTCCATCACCCCGCCCCATTCTCCCTCTTTCCATCACCCCGCCACATTCTCCCGCTTTCCATCACCCCGCCCTATTCTCCCGCTTTCCAGCACCCCGCCACATTCTCCCGCTTTCCATCACCCTGCCCCATTCTCCCGCTTTTCAACACCCCGCCCCATTCTCCCTCTTTCCATCACCCCGCCTCATTCTCCCGCTTTCCATCACCCCGCCCCATTCTCCCGCTGTCAATCACCGCGCCCCATTCTCCTGCTTTCCAGCACCCCGCCCCATTCTCCCTCTTTCCATCACCCCGCCCCATTCTCTCTCTTTCCATCACCCCGCCCCATTCTCCTGCTCTCTATCACCCCGCCCCATTCTCCCGCTTTCCATCGCCCCGCCCCATTCTCCCTCTTTCCATCACCTCGCCCCATTCTCCCTCTTTCCATAACCCCGCCCCATTCTCACGCTTTCCATCACCCCGCCCCATTCTCCTGCTTTCCATCACACCCCCTCATTCTCCCGCTTTCCAGCACCCCGCCCTATTCTCCCGCTTTCCACCACCCTGCCCCATTCTCCCGCTTTCCATCACCTCGCCCCATTGTCCCGCTTTCCAGCACCCCGCCCCATTCTTCCGCTTTCCATCACCTCGCCCGATTCTCCCACTTTCCATTACCCCGCCCCATTCTCCCGCTTTCTACCACCCCGCCCCATTCTCCCGCTTTCCATCACCCCGCCTCATTCTCCCTCTTTCCATCACCCCGCCCCATTCCCCCGCTTTCTAGCACCCCGCCCCATTCTCCTGCTTTCCATCACCCCGCCCGATTCTCCCGCTTTCCATCACCCCGCCCCATTCTCCCGCTTTCTATCACCCCGCCCCATTCTCTCGCTTTCCATCACTCCTCCCCATTCCATTCTTTCTATAACCCCGCCCCATTCTCCCGCTTTCTATCACCCCTCCCCATTCTCCCGCTTTCCATCACCCCCCCTCGATTCTCCAGCTTTCCATCACCCCGCCCCATTCTCCCGGTTTCCATCACCCCGCCCCATTGCTGGCTTGGAAATAGGCCCAGACAAGCGTGTCAGATTTAGGGCGTATCCCTGGCTGGTGGCAGGGCAACTGTAGCAGTCACTGTTGGTGGCATGCGGGAAAACCGCATGCCACCAACATTGTGGCCGAACCGCCCGCGGCTCGCAGTTCGTGGCAACCTCAACAAAATGTGCGACAGTCGCACACGGTAAGAACCAACCAATCACAACAAGCGTGCGATACCACTCCAAATGTCCAACTGGTCACTACAATCTGGGTTCTTCGACACCTGGCACCGACAACAGCTAAACTTGACGCTCACGAAAGGCCTGTAAAGTGGCAGGCACGAAGTGGTTGAGAGAAATGCAATATTGGCAAACTGTAAAAACACCTCGCTCCTTTACAACCTCCTGCAACTCATCTTGACTTGACGACCACCGAGACGCTCTGCGCGCCGCTCAGCCAACACCACGCCGCTGAAATGAGGGGTCCAAAGGCATTCGACGCACAGTCCATATGCGCGTCCTCCTCACCGCCTTTTTCCGTCCCTCATGTCCCCCCTGGATGGTCTCTTGTTCTGCATAGCTGTGTACCTATTATATGGGTTCTATCTAGAGAGCTTCAACCGTACTGCAGGGCATTGGTGCCCTGCAGTGGATAGCAATGCAAGGCGCTACACAGGCTACGAGCGATGAGGCGGCCGCTGAAGAGCGGAGGAGGATCGAACGCATTCAGCGTCAGCGGAAGGAGCACCGCGCACGACGCATGGCGGAATGGCTGGTTGAGCTCCGCATTATGGAGGACGATGATTTTGTCAACGTCTTCCGCATCTCGCCTGAACTGCTGGAGTACATTGCACCTGTCATGGCCCTCCCCATGAGCCACTTCGTTGAGAAGCTCGGGATCCCGCTCGACCTTTGTGTGCTCATCCCTATCAAATACTTTGCCAGCGCCATGACATTCATCGACCTGGGCCTCTACTTCGGTCTGCCCAAGACCATTGTGCACAGGATTGTGGAGGCCTTCCTCGTGCACTTCCCCCGGAGGTTCAAGAAGACCTGGGTGCGCTTTCCCAGAGCAGAGGAGATGGAGGAGATGGCATCGGACTTCAAGGAAGTACGGGGGGTACCGAATGTTGTGGGAGCAATTGATGGCACACATGTGGAGATAAGGGGGATGGAGAACCATAGGCAAGAGTATTACAACAGGAAGTCCGTCTACTCAACCCAGTTGCAAGTTACATGCGACAGCAAGGGGATTATCTGGGACTACACCGTCGGCCACCCGGGATCTATGCATGATCAGGGAATCTTCCAGCAGTCCAAACTGCACGCCCGCCTAGAGCGTGGTGACCTCGGACCGTACCAGATCGTCGGTGATGCTGCCTACCCGCTGCGCAGCTACTGCCTCACTCCTGTCAACGCAACCCGCCGGTGCCTGATGAAGAGCTGGGAGCAGACGTATAACTACGTCCATTCCGCCACCCGCATGGTTGTGGAGCGGACCATTGGTGCACTCAAGGGGAGGTGGCGTTTGTTCGGCCGGCGACACGAGAGCAAGTTGACGCGTGTGTGTGCGGGGACTGCGTGCATCATCATCCTGCACAACATGATCCTGCACACTGACGAGCCAAGGAGCCGTACATTCAGGCATCATTGGCGGGTGTGGATGGGCAACGGCCCACCGTGGTACCACCAGAGTGGCATGAGGACATACAGATGGTGTGATGCTGACAGTGCTGGACAGTCCGACCTTCGCAAGCGGCGGAAGCTGTTTGGGAAGCACATGCATCGTGCTTACCTGAGAAGGCACCGCCCGTGGCGCCTTGAGCGTGACTAGTCGGACGTCATGTCATCGCGCGCCTCATCGTCCACATCGTGGGGAACGTCGCGAGCCTCTCCGCCTAAGGCGGGCGAGTCCTCGTTGCCATGCGTGACTGTGAGGGCGTGCGCATTGGCGGGCGGCGGCGGCGCCACAGGCTGGGGTTGTGGAGGCGGAGCCCTCCCGATCGTGGCAGCGACGTGGATGGCTGTCACGAGGAGTTGCACCATGTCGCTAAGCTGCCGCAACGCCTGAGCATTGCATGTTGTGATTGTGTCGGCGATGACTTTCGCTGCCGCCATGGTGGCGGTCTCGTTGACTCGGGAACGCTTGGGGGGCAGTGGTGAAGGGGTGCCTGCATCGGGGAGTGGTGGAGTAGGATGCATGATGCCCGCGTTTCCTCTGTTGCAATGTCATTGTTATAATCAAAAGCTTCATAAAATGACGCGATCACATGCAACACGCGATACATCGTTAAAAAAAGAGTTGTTTGACGTGTTAGCTTAAACACTTGCCTTCAAGGCATCCTGGCCGACGGACTTGACGATCAGGGAGCATGGCACTGGGCGTCACCATTCCACCCTCGCCCATCTCGGCGTCGTCGCGTATTGGTGCTCCTGGATCAGCGTGGGTCTCCCCTGCTCCGCCACCATCCAGCACATGCGGTTTAACGTTGGCAGGGAGCTTCTTAATGAGGTAAACATACTCGAACCAGGGTTTCTTCCGCTTGGGCGCCTTCCCTGACGTGCCGTTGTGGCGCATCGTGTCACGGTACTCTGCCTCAAGACGCTTCCATGCGTGTTGCATGGCGGTGCTGTTGCGCTTCCACTTTACGCCGCTCTTTTTCATGTGCGCGCGGAGCTTCTTCCAATATTGATTGCCTTGTTTGCCACGCATCTGCTTCAGATCGTCGCGAGTGTACCACTTAGCGGCCGCCAATGCAGTAAGCTCCTCGTCGCTCCCGCGTTTTGCCGTTTTCGCACTGTTCCTTCATCCACTTGACGTAGGGCGGGTCCTCCCATGGCTCGCGATCATCTACCTTCTCCTTTCGCTTACCACGGGCTCTCTGCTTACGAGGGGGCATGATGCGGCAGAGGTTCTAAACTTGCCTAACCAACTAAAGTATCGCGTGAAGTGGAGTTTTTGGAGGTTCACAACATGCATAGTGCGTACCTAGATCTGGAGGAGGTGGTGATGACTTTGCCGCCAAGCTGATGCAATGTAGTTGGGGTCCCCTTCGGGGAGGGGATATGCACGTTCCTGTCCCGACCAATGACAGCAGTTGGTGGGCCGGGAATTTTACCGGCATGTGAGAGCTCGAACGTGGTGTGTGCGAGCCCAGTTTGCGAGGGAGATTTGGATATGCGATGTGGTGATTGGACCGTGTGACCCAACCCAACCAGGCGATCGGTTCTTTCAACCAATCGCCTTGTTGCTTATGCGCGCCAGTTTTCTGCCACCAACCTGCCGTTATAGGTATTCATGGCATCCGCAAAAACCGCCTGCCATCTACAGTGGTCCTGCCACCACCCAGGGATACGCCCTTATATGACATAGCTACTATAGGCTATAGTGGGGTAGCACATATGGGGTACAGCTTTGTAGGGTTTTTACTTGTACCCAACTTTCCCTTAGTCATTTCATTCTCGTTCAATTTCACATGGTATAGAGCAGGTTCCCCTGTGGGAACTGTTCCTAGGGCCCACCGTTTTTTTTTTTCCTGCCCGTAGCGCGCTCAGCCTCTACCCGAGTCGCGCTCCCCTCTCACGACCCCGTCGCGCCGCCCTTACGACCCCGTCGAGTCGCCCTTGCGACCCCGTCGCGCCGCCCTCGCGGCCCCATCACGTCGCGCCGCCCTCGCGGCCTCTCCGCGCCGCCCACGCGGCCCCGTTCCGCCGCCCTCGCGGCCCCGTCGCGTCGCGCTGCCCTTGCGGCCCTTTCGCGCCGCCCTAGCGGTCTCTTCGAGCCGCCCTAGCAACCCCTCCAAGCCGCCCTCGCGGCCCCGTCGCCTACCCTTGCGGCCCCGGCGCCTACCCTCGCGGCCCCGTCGCCTACCCTGCGGCCCCGTCGCCTACCCTGCTCGCCCCGGCGCCTACCCTGCAGCCCCGGCGCCTATCCTGCAGCCCCGTCGCCTACCCCTGCGGCCCCGGCACCACCCTTCCCGGCCCCGGCACCGCCCTTCCCGGGCCCCGGCGCCGCCTCTGCTGGCCCCGTCGCCTACCTTGCGGCCCCGGCGCTACCCTTCCCGGCCCCGGCGCTGCCTCTACTGGCCCCGCCGCCGTCCCCACGCGGCCCCGCCGTCACCACCGAGCCGCCGGCGCCGCCGACCTACTGCCGAGCCGCCCGAGCCACCTGAGCCGCCCGAGCCGCCGCGCCACCTGAGCCGTCCGAGCCGCCGGGTCGCTGAGCTGCCGAGCTGCCGTATCCCCGAGCCGCCAAGCCGCCAGCGCCGCCGAGTCGCCGAGCCGCAGTTGCTGCCGAGCCGCCGAGCCGCCGAGCCACCCGAGCCGCCGAGCCGCCGAGCCGCCGACCCGCCGAACCGCCGAGCCGCCTTGTCCGGTAAGAGCAGTGCCTCTGTCACTGCACTGCCCTTACCCTACTGTTCGCGGTGCTAGTCTACTGCTGTCATGGCCACCCCTAGTGTCCTCGCTTTTAACGCTGAGGGTCGGGCCATTGACTTTGACGTCTGGGTAGATGACCTGCAGCTTTTCCTACAGTACGATAGGGCAGACGGTCTCTCCCTCTTTGACCTCACTTCTGGTGCCTCTCCTACCCCTGCTGCTAATGCTGACGCCACTGTTCGCTCACAGTGGGCCACACGCGATGCTGCTGTGCGTCGCCACCTGCCTACCTCTGAGCGTGCGCACTTTAGTCAGTACAAGAGTTCTCAGACCTTGTACGACGCTGTAGTTGCACGCTACTCCTCCCCTGCCACTCCTGCACTGAGCCGCCTCATGCTACCGTACCTCTTCCCTGACCTTGCTGCCTTTCCCACAGTCGCTAACCTCATTACGCACCTCCGCACTAGTGACACTCGCTACCGCGCTGCACTTCCTGCTGAGTTCTGCGCCAAGAACCCCCCCCCCCATGTACATCACCCTCTACTACATAGTCACCCGGCTCCCTGACTCCCTTCGCGTAGTCAGGGACCACTTCCTCTCAGTTTGCCCCACCACTCTCACCGTTGACCTCCTCGAGAAGGCCCTCCTAGCAGTAGAGAAGAGCATAGTAGCTGTAGGAGCCTCTCGTGGTGACCCTCGCACCCCCATCTTTGAGGGGTGTTCCCCCTCCCCCCTTTTGCCCTCTGTTGCCTCTGCTGCTGCGGCCGACCTCGTTGGTCTTGAGTCGGTCGGTGCGGCGTCTACCCCTAGCGGGAGACGCCGCCCTGGCAAGGGCAAGGGGGGCAGGGGCGCTAGAGGAGCTAGCGGGGGCGGTGGAGGCGGCGGTGGAGGCGGCGGAGGGGGTGGGAGTGGCAGTGGGGGTGGTGGCGGGGGTGGAGGTGTCGGTGGCGGCAGTAGAGGCGGAGGCAGCGGCGGTGGTGGCGGTGGGAGCGGAGGTGGCGGAGGTGGCGGCGGTGGAGGAGGCGGTGGCGGAGGAGGTGGAGCTGGTCGGGGTGGCGCTGCGCAGAGGGCCGGCTCCGGTGGTGGTCAGTGCCAGCAGCAGCAGCAGCAGCGCACTCGTGACATCCCCCCCCCCCTCAGCAGCTCCGTGAGTGGTACGCTGCACGCCAGCGGGGTGGGGGTACTGGTCCGTGCACCTACGTCCTACGCACCGGCGACCGCGCGGGTGAGCAGTGCGAGGGTGCGCACTCCACCCAGCGCTGCTTTGGCCGCCTGACGAACGCTTGGCGTCACCAGTTCCCGGAGGCCGCTGAGATCCCCGCTGGGGCGAGCTGTCTAGGGCGGGAGTAGCTGTCTTTGACCTTGAATTTGATGCTATTCTTGCTGCCATGTATGCTGTGACTATTAGTGATGAGGGTGACTGTTACCGGTGTTTTCCGCCCGACCCGGGCGCATTGAGACTGCTGCTCTAGGTACTAGTGAGGCTGCTGCTCTAGGTGCTAGCGAGGCTGTTGCTCTAGGTGCTCGTGTGTCTGCTCCCTCAGGTGCTGGTGAGTCTGCTCTCTCAGGTATTGCGTCGACTTCGGCCTCCCACACCTTCACCCTTGACTCGGGGGCTTCTCGCTCCTTCTTTCGAGACCGCACCACACTCACGCCGCTTGGCCGGCCAGTTGCAGTCTCTCTGGCAGACCCCTCTGGGGGTCCTGTCCTTGCTCACTTCTCCACTGTCCTCCCGTGTCCGGCGGCCCCCTCTGGCACCCTGTCTGGCCTTTACCTCCCCTCGTTCTCTACGAACTTGGTGAGTGGTGCTGACCTACAGGATGCGAGGGTTCACCAGTTCACTCCTGCGAGTCAGCGGGTGACCCACTGTACTGAGGCTCGGACAGGCCGACACTTGGCCAAGTTTACACGTCGGCCGGGGTCGAGCCTGTACACCCTGACCACTGTGTCTCCCCCAGTCACTGCGTCCGGTCAGGTAGCTGCGTCGGGTCAGGTGTTTGCTGCAGCGTCCAGGTATGGTCCTGAGTCTGCCCCCTGCTCCTGTCGCCTCCTGTCTCACGAGACTCTCCTTTGGCACCACCGTCTTGGTCACCCCTCCCTGCTTCGTCTCCGAGGCATGGCCTCTCGTGTCCTTGTCTCTGGTCTTCCCCGGTCCCTCCCTCCCCTTCCTCCGGGGCCTGGCCCTACCTGCGTCCCCTGTGTCGAGGGGCGACAGCGGGCTGCCCCTCACTCCTCCCAGTTTCCTCCGACAGAGGCCTCGCTGCAGACGCTTCACATGGACGTCTGGGGCCCGGCCCGCGTCCGTGGACAGGGTCACGAGCGCTACTTCTTGTTGGTGGTTGACGACTACTCGCGTTACACCACAGTCTTCCCCTTGCGCAGCAAGGGTGATGTCACTGAGGTGTTGATCGACGCAAGGGTGATGTCACTGAGGTGTTGATCGACTGGATCCGCGCAGCTCGTCTCCAGCTCAGGCAGAGCTTCGGCTCGGACTTTCCTGTTTTGCGTCTGCACTCTGACAGAGGCGGAGAGTTCTCCTTTGGCCTTCTACGAGCCTACTGTTGTGCACGAGGCATCCGCCAGACCTTCACGCTTCCGGACTCTCCACAGCAAAATGGGATTGCTGAGTGCCGCATTGGCATGGTCATGGACGTCGCCCGTACGTCCATGATGCATGCGGCTGCCCCCCATTTTCTGTGGTCGTTTGCGGTTCGGTACGCGGCGCATCAGATCAACCTTCAGCCCAGGGTCTCCATGCCAGAGAGCTCCCCAGCTTTGCTGTGGACGGGGAAGGTTGGCGATGCGTCTGCGTTCCGTGTCTGGGGATCTCGGGCGTTTGTCCGCGACTTGTCTGCGGACAAGCTGTCCCCTCGTGCTGCTCCTTGCGTCTTCCTTGGCTTCCCCCCTGACGCGCCAGGGTGGCAGTTCTACCACCCCACCTCTCGCCGTGTTCTGTCCTCCGAGGACGTCACGTTTGACGAGTCGGTCCCCTACTACCGCCTCTTCCCCTACCGCACTCCGTCCCTCCCCCCGCCACCGCTCTTCCTTGTGCCAGGTCCCCCCCCGGTAGACCCCCTCCCCCCTCGGTCCTGCCCCTTCAGGTGTGTCCCAGGTAGACGCAGTCGAGCCTGTCGAGGTTACTGGTGACTCTGGTGCTGCTGAGGGTGCTGAGCCTGGGGGTGCTGAGCGTGTGGGTGCTATGCCTGGGGGTGCTGAGCCTGAGGGTGCTGCTACTGGGGGTGCTGAGTCTGGGGGTGCTGAGCTTGGGGGTGCTACCACTGAGGGTGC